AAAAATACACTAATGGAGGACATACAGGCAGACCCTCAGACAGATTTAAAAAAACACACAGCATCAAGGACTGCATCCTATTCAGAAGAGCATTGTCTCTATGAGGTACTTTCTACCACTACTACTTGTTTATCGCCCATTAAGGTGGGGCTAGTGTGAGATAAATTTATATTTGACTTATAGTAGTGAATGAGTCTGAATTTACTGTGGGTTTAGTGTGAGATCAGGCTGGGTAACTTTGGTTCTGGAGGTCCATGGAAGCTTCCAGAAGCCAGTGGGTGGAAGGGTGGAGATCTAAATATGCATAATTTATGGGAGTCTAACCAATCCCAGGCTAAGAGGTCCTCGTAGTGTGGCAAGGCTAGCCAATAAATATGAGAAAGTTATGTTAACAGGGGAGTCGGGTGGAAGATGGATTGCTGAGAAGTGTTGCTGTGTAGCCTGGGAGGGAGCCCCAGAGGAAGGGGGTTCTGCTTCCATGCTGGAGGCTGGAAGCTGAAAGAGAACTGAAAGAGGGAGCTCCACTGCCCTGTAGTCCACTGGGAAAGGACAGCTTGGAAACGAACCATCCCAGCTACAAGGCCTGAAATCAGTTCTATCCACAGCCACAGGACAAAGACAGTGTGAGTACCTCTGCACCCCCAGGGTCTAGAAGGGAGAAGTCTGCTGGATGCAAATTCTAGTTTTCAAGTTCAAGTTCAAGTTTTCAGAGGACAATTCAGAACTTATCCAATCCCTTGTCCTGGGGTCAGATGCCATAGCCAGGTGGGCTGGCATTTTATCAACTCAGGGTACACCAAGCTCCTAGAGGGGGTTACTCTACTAAGGACTGTGATGGTTCCAGCTGGAACACAGTCAAGTATCTGTCTTTTTTTTTTTTGCTACATGTGCTAGAGCAGGAGATGTCCTCATTTTTACTTTTTTTTCAATCAAATTGGACATCCCATAACCTTTTACCCTAATGATGTTTTACCTCTTAATGAAACAAAAAATCCCAAGCCCATGAACTTTTTCTTGTTTCTGGAAAATGTGTTGCCTGGCTGCGCAGAGTTTAGGGAGATGAAAACTCAGCGAGATCTGCGGGGGTAGCGTTACACTTGTAAGGTGTTTCTGTTTTTGTAATTTCAGACCAACTGCCTCATAGAGCATGATATAATTCCTATTAATCAAGGGATGGAAACTACAAGGGGAAAAGTATCTGCTTATGATTACAATGTCGAGAATTTTGAAAATCATTTATGCAGAAACAATATTGGAACTGTGGGTCTTTCTGAACACAGTAAAGGTACCTCCCTTGTAGAATTTATGGAAAACTGGTTGTTCGATGTTTTTTGGGAAAATGCATCTGCACCTTTATTTACTACTGAGAGCTCTCGGGATGCCATCCTGCCCACTACCACCAGATGGCCCTCCCAGACCACACCTGAAAATTTTACATTACAAGGATAGTTAAACCATCCTTAGAAAAGAAAGATTTATCCTATGATTGCTGCAAGATTTGTATTTTTCCTAATTTCTTGGTGGAATTACAAAGGCAAAGAGCTAATTATATTGATTTTATGAGGCATCTCCACCAAGTCAATATCTCTTGTGCAATGCTGTATCCTTCTCGACTGAGAGCTGTGGCACTAGGCAAACCTCACTTCTTTGACAAACCTGCGACAGATTCTGCCTGGCTGAAGAAGAACAATTGGACACTCAGCACTGGGTACCCTGCTTCTCCTATTCTGTATACGCAATGGTAACAGTCTCTCTTACCTTACAGTACTTTTTTTTCTCATCAGAGTGCTAAACCTGTCTTGCAGCTCACAGCTTGAATATGTTTACTTTTATTCTATTTTCTACTTTTTTTTCTTGTTTTGCAGCAATGGAACATCACTGTAGCTACAGCGAGAATCCTGTATCCACCTTGAATCCCCCCATGACTGTCCTGAGTGGAACTTCAAGGTTTTTTTAGTTGCCCTTTCTTTTTCATATGTTTGAACTGTTGTTAATGGAACCTTTTTTTTATTTTTTTTTATACTTGCTGGTGGGACATTTTCATTCATTGCTATAGCCTTTATACCAACTGGTCAGATAATTCACATTGCTACCTATACTGCTCAGAATTATTTTTTTTAGGTCCTACACACAACAGAATAAAAACAGGGTGGTTCAAAGAGTTGTAAGAGATGCACAAAATAGCCTTGTATGCCAATGATCCTTTTGGCTGATACCCAAGGCTCCCTGCCTTCAGTAATGTCTTTAAATTACATGTTTTGGCTCTTTCTCAGGTTTGAATATTAACTAGAGCAATTCTACATTGTTACCAGTGGACCAATTGACTGATCCTGTAGCAGACTGTGCACCATATTCTGTATTCAAGTGGAAAGGTTTAAATATTTAAGAATATACTGTATATTGTACCAGATCCTAAACTCTATCTTCCTATCAACCTGACTCCCTTATTGGATGGATTTTAGGAAAAGCTATAACATGGTGTCACTTACCAATATTTGTTGAAGGTGGATTTGACTGCCCCAACTTTTATATATATTATACAACTCTCCAGTGAGGTTCTTAGTTTAGGAAAACTGACTTCCTCTTTAGATATCCGGTATGGAAGAAAGGGCAAGCCAAAATCCACCTATATACAATGCAATTACCAAAAGAGCTCAGTTAAAGTCATCTCCAAGTGTTCAACTATAACTTTAATATTGAAACGGTGGGGGGCAGCAGTCATGTTCTTACTAAACCAGTTATGTACCCCTGTACTAAAATACCCATGGGGTATTTTAGTACAGGGGATTATAACCAGCTATACCCCTGAATGGAACAGTGGTAATCTCCAGAAGCTTAAAGAGCTGCATGAGCTTGGTAGTTGGAGAAATTTTGATATGACAAAACTGACCCAACTGTATGACTATATTACACTGAAATCTTTTCAAACACTAAAGAAGGAATACTATTTGCCTAAGCAAACTGTTTTCTATGCTTACAGATAAGACATGCCCTGTCTGCACAATTTAAATCTACCTCTTTGGTGTGGAGTATTGCCCTTTACTTAAAGAGGAGCTCCACCCAAAGGGGGAAGTTCTGCTTTAAAGACTGGTCCTCTGCTCCCCATTAAGGATTGGTTCCTTTGGGGAGCAGGTACCCAAAATTGACAGGTACCCACTCTCACTTCCGCTGCAATTGCCTAGGTGATCGGAAGCAAAAGTTGTCCACCTACCCTCCCTCCCCGTAGTCTTCTGGGACATGTGACAGGTCCCAGAAGACTACGGGGCCATTCAGGAAGCGCAACGCTACGCACGCATGTGCAGTGGGCACCCGGCTGTGAAGCTGCAAGCCCACACTGAAGAACACCAGACACCTGGTGAAATGGGCTGTGGGGAGGACACCGCGGGATCGTGGGACAGGTGAGTGGCTGTTTTTTAAAAGTCAGCAGATACAGTTTTTGTAGCTATCAAGAATGGTGTGAACCTCCTGCGCTACTGAATAACCAAAAAAAAAAAATATAAAATATGAAAAAAATAATATGAACTAACAGGGATGGTGTGAACCTCTCACACTACTAAACTGAGGAAGTCACATGATATTGTGACGCAACGCGTCGGCCTGACGTGGTGATGCACTTCCGGCGTGGTGGCCATCTTGGTGCACCTTTTTTGATTCGTGTACACCCATGCAGATTACACCCAAAAGCATAGGGTTGTAAAGCTGTCATCTTTCAGGACGGATGTGAGTTGTCTTCATATGTTTATGGTTTGATTTTCATTAAATTTACCTGCTACACTATGGGAGATTGTGTTTATTTTTTTGGCACATACCCATACCCCATAAGAGGAGCCACTGCTTGATTATCGACCCCCAGAGAAGGATATCTATGGATGGGGAAAGTGGATCAGTGGATATCAGTAGATGCTGAGAGGATTTGAGGGTTTGATCCCACTATACGCTTTGACCTTCACGGGTCGAAGCCTGGAGGTGAGAGGCTAATCTAGCCGTGTGTTGGAGTTTCTGCACCTGGAGTCACTTTATGATCACGTGTGCTTGTAATTGCAGTTGTGGTGTCACCCACCCATTGGACATTTTTCTACACATTTTTTATTTTTTTTATTTTTTTTGTTTGCGTTTTAGTGTGACATTTTTTTGCACTATATTTGCATGATTGATCACAGTTTTATTATTAAAATCATTTATTGCTTTCATGTGTTAGAAATTTTCACAAGATTGTTAATACACTGTGTTTATACACTATGTTTTTTATGATATTAGTTTTAATATATTTTTTGATCACTATGACCACTTGATTATTATATTTACATTCATCTCACGGGGTGTATTGTATGTGTTATATATATTTAGAAATTTTCTGATTAGTATTTTTTAAGTTTTATGAGTAGCGCCACATTTTTTGATTTTTAGTTTTTGTAGCTGCTGACTTTTATTTTTTCACAGTGCGACTGGAACTCCACTTTAATATCATAGCATGTGGAATCTCCAGTTTATATTTCAGCACTCATCTGACAGCATTAGATTCCACAATTGATCTCCCGTAAAATCACTCTGGGTAGAAGGCTTGGGAGAATTATTACATTAACTATGGTCATATAATGTGGAATCTATCCCTTTAACTAGTTGCCGACCGCAGATAGCCGAATGACAGCTGCACTGCGGCCGGCCAGTTCTGAGTGGACGTCATATGACGGCCCCCCAGAACGCGCTCTCCTGCGCTCCCCAGGGGGCGCGCACCCGGCGATCTCCGTGATCGCTGTGTCCTACGGACACAGCTGATCACGTGATGTGGTAAAAGGCCAATCACAGCGGCCTTTTACCACGTGATCAGCGGTGTCCAATGACACGCTGATCAGAGGGAAATGCAAGTGCCGGTTCTCGGCTGCACTTTCCTCACGCTGTCAGATCGTGAGGAAAGTATTGCCGAGAACCGGCAGTTGTCAGAGCGGGGATCGGCACCGATCATCAGGGCACTGATGATCAGTGCCCTGATGATCGGTGCCCAGCAGTACCACCCGCAAGTTCCGCCCACCTGTGCCCAGCAGTGCGCCCACTAGCTCCCGCCCACCTGTGCCCAGCAGATCACCCACCTGTGCCAGCAGATCACCCACCTGTGCCCCAGTGCACCCACCTGTGCCACTCTGCAGTGTCACACACCTGTGCCCAGAAGTGCCACCTACCTGTGCCCAGCAGTGCCACCCACCTGTGCCCACCCACCTGTGCCCACCAGTGCCACCCACCTGTGCCCACCCACCAGTGCTGCCCACCAGTGCCACCAGTGCCACCAGTGCTGCCAGTCAGTGCCACCAGTCAGTGCCCAGGGGTTGTGCCAGTCAGTGCCGCCAGTCAGTGCCCAGCAGTGATGCCAGTCAGTGCCGTCTATCAGTACCCATCATCAGTGTCACCTATCAGTGCCGCCTATCAGTGCTGCATATTAGTGCCGCCTATCCGTGCCACCTCATTAGTGCTGTCTATTGCCTATCCGTGCCCTTTAGTATTGCCTATCAGTGCCCTTTAGTGCTGCCTATCAGTGCCCATCAGTGCCGCCTATCAGTGCCCATCAGTGCTGCCTCATCAACGTACATCAGTGAAGGAGAAAAAATACCTGTTTGAAAAATTTTATAATAGAAACAAAGAAACTTTTTTTTTTTTTTTTCAAATTTTTTGCACTTTTTTTATTTATAGCGCAAAAAGTAAAGCGCTCAGCGGCGATTAAATACCACCAAAAGAAATCTCTAATTGTGAGAAAAAAATGATCAAAATTTCATATGGGTACAATGTTGCATGACCGCGCAATTGTCAATCAAAGTGCGGCAGCGCTGAAAGCTGAAAATTGGCCTGGTAAATAAGGGGGTATAAGTGCCTGGTAGGCAAGTGGTTAATATCTCTATTACCCTCTCTGAAATTGACACAGCTTTTCATACTTCATAGGTCATACTACACACCCCAAAAGCTATTCCAGTTTGGTTGTCATCCAGATGCATCTTGTCCAGGATGCTCTGGAGATATTTTGATCTCTCTCCCTTCAAAGACAGCCTAGTAAAAATGCTTACAAGATATAATTTTCTTTGCAATGTTCCTGGCTTATGTCTTAGACATATTATACTGCATTTTTTATGCCCTGATTGAAAATGCTTAATTTCTTCCTCTTCAAATGCAGCCTACTAAAAGGCTTACATGATGTGCAGCATATCTGTGGTGTAATTCAGTTTCTTGTCTCCAAGCAGTGATGAGTTGAATGAACCTTGGTTCTGTTTGGGATTAGTTCAATGAACTTAGATCGCTGAATGGATATTAAATTCCACTTACTGTAATTAAGTCAATGGGAGCTGAATCTTGTAAAACAGTAATAGACATTTTCTAGGCTAATAGGCAGGGGATTGTAAAACAAATGGCAGTGGGAGCTGAGGGATTGGCACTGCCTGGGGAACACTAGTACCAAAGCAACAAAAAAAAAATCCCTTTCGTGGGGAGCAACTATTAATGCTTAAAGAGAAACATTAAAAATGCTAAATTAATGTAAATAAATTTAACCTGGAAGGTATTTTTACCCTGCCTGTTAACCTCTTGCCGACCGCGCATAGCCGAATGACGGCTTCACCGCGGCCGGCCCAGTTCTGAGTGGACGTCATATGACGTCCTCCCCAGAACGCGCTCTCCTGCGCGCCCCAGGGGGCGCACACCCGGCGATCTCCGTGATCGCTGTGTCCTACGGACACAGCTGATCACGTGATGTGGTAAAAGGCCAATCACAGCGGCCTTTTATTACGTGATCAGCGGTGTCCAATGACACGCTGATCACAGGGAAATGCAGTGCCGGTTCTCGGCTGCACTTTCCTCACGCTGTCAGATCGTGAGGAAAGTACTGCCGAGAACCGGCAGTTGTCAGAGCGGGGATCGGCACCGATACAGGCACTGATGATCAGTGCCCTGATGATCGGTGCCCAGCAGTGACACCCGCAGTTCCGCCTAGCAGTGCGCCCACTAGCTCCGCCCACCCATGCCCAGCAGAACCCCCACCTGTGCCCAGCAGTGCCCCCACCTGTGCCCAGCAGTGCACCCACCTGTGCCACTCTGCAGTGCCACCTACCTGTGCCCAGAAGTGCCACCTACATGTGCCCAGCAGTGCCACCCACCTGTGCCCACCCACCTGTGCCCACCTGTGCCACCCACCTGTGCCCACCAGTGCCACCCATCCTTGCCCACCCACCAGTGCCACCCACCAGTGCAGCCTAGCAGTGCTGCCAGTCAGTGCCACCAGTCAGTGCCCAGGGGTTGTGCCAGTCAGTGCCACCAGTCAGTGCCCAGCAGTGATGCCAGTCAGTGTCACCCATAATCAGTGTCACCTATCAGTGCCTTGCCGCCTATCAGTGCTTTTGCATATCAGTGCCGCCTATCCGTGACCCCTAATTAGTGCTGTCTATCAGTGCCGCCTATCCGTGCCACCTCATTAGTACTACTGCCTATCAGTGCCCTTTAGTGCTGCCTATCAGTGCCTATCAGTGCCGCCTATCAGTGCCCATCAGTGCTGCCTCATCAACGCACATCAGTGAAGGAGAAAAAATACCTGTTTGAAAAATGTTATAAAAGAAAACAAATAAACTTTTTTTTTTTTTTCAAATTTTTTGCACTTTTTTATTTATAGCGATAAAGTGCCCAGTGGCAATTAAATACCACCAAAAGAAAGCTCTATTTGTGAGAAAAAAATGATCAAAATTTCATATGGGTACAATGTTGCATGATCGCGCAATTGTCAATCAAAGTGCGGCAGCGCTGAAAGCTGAAAATTGGCCTGGTAAGGAAGGGGGTATAAGTGCCTGGTAGACAAGTGGTTAAGTGACACATACAGTTAGGTCCATATATATTTGGACACAGACACAATTTTAGTTTTTTCAGGTAGTTTTACCAAATCATATTCAAGATATAGTTATATAATTGATATAAGCTGAAAGTGCACGCTCTCAGGTTTAATTTGAGGGTATGTACATCCAAATTGGAGGAAGGGTTTAGGAATTACAGCTCTTAAGTGTAGCCTTCCCCCATTTTTCAAGGGATCAAAAGTAATCGGACAAATGAATATAATCATAAATAAAAAGTTAATTTTGTAATATTTTGTTGAGAATCCTTTACTGGCAAAGACTGCCTGTAGTTTGAAACCCATGGACATTACCAAAGTCTGGGTTTCCTCCTTTCTGATTTTTGCCAGGCTCTAACTGTAGCTGTCTTCAGTTGTTCTTTGTTTGTGGGTCTTTCTGCCTTTAGTTTTGCCTCCAGCAAGTGAAATGCATGCTCAATTGGGTTGAGATCCGGTGATTGACTTAGCTATTGCAGAATATTCCACTTATTTTCCTTCAAAAGCTCCTGGGTTGCTTTTGCAGTGTGTTTTGGATCAGTGTCCATCTGTACTGTGAAGTGCCATCCAATCAACTTTGCTGCATTTGGCTGAATCTGGGCTGACAGTAAATCTCTAAACACTGCAGAATTAATCCGGCTGCTTCTGTCTTCTGTCACATGATCAATAAACAACAATTACCCAGTGCCACTGGAAGCCATGCATGCCCATGCCATCAGACTGCCTCCGCCATGTTTTACAGATGACGTTGTGTGCTTTGGATCATGAGCTGTTCTAAGCCTTCTCCACACTTTTTCATCCCTTCATTTATCTGTCCAAAGAATGCTTTTCCAGAACTGGTCTGGCTTTTTTTTAGATGTTTTTTGGCAAAGTCTATTCTGGCTTTTCTATTCTACAGGCTTATGAATGGTTTGCACCTTGTGGTAAACCCTCTGTATTTGCCTTTTAATGTTGCTGAGCTCACCAGTGCGTTCTTCTTTCCTCAGAATGTTCCAAACTATTTGGTTACTCCTACTGTTGCTGCTATCTCTCTGATGGATTTGTTTCGTTTTTGAAGCCTTACTATGGCCAGTTTCACTTGCATGGACAACTCCTTAGACTGCTCGATGTAGGTTCACAGCAATAGATTCCAAATGCAAATAGCACACTTAGAATCATCTCCATACCTTTTACCTGCTTAATTGATGAAGAAATAATGAAGGAGTAGCCCACACCAGACCATGAAATAGCTTTTGATTCAATTGTCCAATTACTTTTGGTCCCTTGAAAAAGGGGGGATGGCTAATCTTAAGAACTGTAATTCCTAAACCCTTCCTCTAATTTAGATGTACATACCCTCAAATTAAACCTGAGCGTGTGCACTTTCAGCCCATATCCATTTATAAATATAGCTTGAATATGTTTTGCAAATACCTGAAAAATGTTAAAATTGTGTCTGTGTCCAAATATATATGGACCTAACTGTATGCATGATGTATGCAATTCACTGCAGCAAAATTGAAATTTACAAAGAAAAAAATGCTCTTTACATTGCCAGTAAATGACAGGACAGGTCCTGGCTGCTTTCTTCTGTTTGTAACTGGTTTGTAACTTCCATGACATCACTGACAAAATATGGTTATGTCCATATTTGGTGGATGATATCACCCAAGATAACCTGCCCCTTTGTTTACATTCCACTGCAGGGACCAGGAGCTGTCATTCGTTGCAAGTGACAGGATTAGACATGTAGATTTTTTCTTCTGCAGCAGATCAGCAGACATCATTTACTATTTTTTGGTACAAACGTGGCATTATTCAGCAGGCTGTCCTAGGATGGTTCAGACATGCTGACAAAACTTTTTATGCTGAAGCTTTCCAGGCATTAGTTAAACCCAGGGGTAAGTGTAAAAATGTAGCAGGGGAGTATGTAAAATAAAAAAGCAATTCCTCTCCTTGAAATGTGTTCTTTTACTATATAAACTCAAAGTCACAGTTTGACTTGAATGCCCCTTGTACTTTACCTTGTTCTTCATTTCATAGATGTGCATCAAGCTTTGTTATTGCAAGACCTCCTAAAACTTACCTCTTCTCAAAAGTGTATTATCTAACTTTAAAGGTTCTCTGTAACTACATATAGATGGCAAACTTCTTACAAATTTTGGGGAAAACACTTAGCAGGGAAATAACGGCAGTATGATATGCTTCAAAACTAATCAAGTGAAAGCATAAATAAAAAAAAAATATATATATACCCCAATGCAGAGCTAAAAATCTATTTGCTCTTAATTACAGTATATACATCCAACTATACCAGTGTAATAACCACAAAACAAATATCCAAAACTGCAAAATAAGAATCAAATCAAAAACTAAGTGTGCACAATCTTTATAGTGTCCAATTCTTTTTATTAAACAAACTTCACCCAGCACACGTAACTATCTTTAATTCTTATTTGGACTCTCACTCAGCCTATCT